AACACGATTGGCTAAAGAGACAACCAGGAAACAAGAACAAGTAAATAAGAGAAAGCATGGTGTCTGATACAGTCGATCAGACAGGTCATTACCCACATATACAAAACCAACTATGATACACAATATAAAACAGGTGACTGGCTGTGTGTCTGTCTGTGTGCCCTGTGGTAGACCCGTCCAGGGTGTACCCTGTACGCACAGGCACCTGGGAAAGTTTTAGCCCCACCCCCCGTGACCCTGACCTGGATGAGAGGAAGAGAATGGATGAAAAATATGAGCCACAGAAAGCAGAACAGCAGATGAAGCCATGAGAAATACACAGAAAGCCTAAACTGAGCTGGCGTCGCTTCGAGGACTCCGATCGTTCGACTGACTCAGGACTGTTGACTCGTTTAAGTTAACTTACATCCTGCTGTAACCAGGCAGACCAACTAATATGTACCAACAGAGAGACCTGATGTTTAATAATGATTAAATAAAAATGTTCAATAATAAGAAATGGTGTGTTACTGCCACCTGCTGGTGTGGAGTGTGAACTGCAGCCAAACAGAGTCCAGGATGTAGCACTGAGTAAAAGTGAAATGGAAGAAAATGTTAGATGAACTGGAGCTCTGTGAGTTAGGACTGGTTTTAAATGAAGTTTACTTTATTTATTTAAGGTACTTAAAAGGATGAATGTGCTCGCTTTAGCTCATGGTACAGCCGCCTTCATATCAACATGCGTGTAAACGGTAAGTGTTGCTAGGCAATAGTTTTACATCCATTCCGAAGGAGTCAAAATGACATGTCGGGCAGTTTTAGGTGGTCTTAATCTTTTTCTTTTTATCACACACAACTCAAAATTCCCTGTTTGATGAAAAAGTCAGTTTCAGGAAAAGTCATGAAAATGTTTTGTTTGAATTATAACAGAGTTATATGAATTTCAAAATGTCAGTGGATGGATATGGCGTGCCGGTGTTAACGGACTGCTTCGCTTCCTGCTTTTCGACTGATCCGAGGTCTCGTTTTGTGCCTGATGTGGTGTGGAGGGTTTGTGGGGACGATCGAGAGTGTTCTCTCACTTTATATTGGGATTTTTATTTTTTTATTTTTTTCTGCCTGTCCCGTTTGGCTCTTTTGCATCAGAATTGTTGTCTAAAGGCAAAGAAAGATGCCCAACGGATTTACTTTACCAAATTGACCATCCCAGCCTTGCCGTAATGGTCCATTTGATTCACCTTTTATTGTTTATTTTATTTTCACTTACTGAATACGGGACAGACTTGACTGGGGGAAAGAAGGGGAGAAAGAAAGAGGGAAAGAGAAACAGCTGAGAAGAGGGACGGGGGAGAAGGGCAAAAGACAAAAACCAACAAGAACGAGCAGAAAAAAAATGCATATATCAATCACCTGGATCACCTGCTGAGAAAGAAAAAAGAAAGCAAGCAGAAGAGAACAAGAGTAATAGAATAAACAACATCACAATGATATATGTGAATATGACAGTAAATACTAAATATTAAACATTATTGTGCAGCACATAAGATCAACAGAACACAGTGTGCTTTGAGGTAGGAGCCAAAAAGGGTGTAGTTTGTGGGTGTGATCACCCGTGTGTACACCTGTGAGCATGGACGCGCTTGTTTTTTTTAAAAGGTTCCTTCATGTAATGATCTGCTAGAGGGTGTGGGGGGGCCACAGCCCCGTCCTCCAGGGTATGAAGCAGGTATGGAGGAGATCAAAACTCCAGACATCCAGAGGCCCCCAGAACACAAGAGACCAAGGAAGACCAAGCTTCCGGTGAAGCTTTGACACATGAAAACTAGAGCTGGGCAATATGAGATTTTTTCATATCACGATATGTTTTTTTCATTTCAGGCGATAACGATATCTACAGATATCAAGCCAAATAACTATATTTGTAAGATTTAAATGTGCCGTTGCTCACAAGTAAAATGTGAAATAATCAGCAGCTTGTTTTATTTAAATATTTATTTCCCATAATAAGTTCAACAGGGTAGATGTACTTAAGGAACACGAGACTTTTTCAGATAAATAAAGGCAAATATTGCAAACTACACAAAAGGCAGCCGCTAAAGCGTTTAAGTTTCAAAATAGAACAAACGAAACAGACTAAACTGTCAATTCCACTTAGAAACAAAATATTAATTCTACAAATAAATCTTAGTTTGTTTTACAGAAGAACAGACAAAACTGACTAACTTTTGTCAATATCAGAATAAACTGAGAACTAAAAGGAAATTCTCGATCTCTCCTTGTTGTATAGCTGAGCTTTTCAAACAGTTGTAACAGTTACTAGTCTGACAAAAGCCGAATGATGAATCAGCGCTTCCAGTCAGAGACTGAGCTGCACCGCTTTATTGTATTTCCAGACTTGCTTTCGGCACATTTACAGTGCAGCTTCTGTTTTTGTCAGACTTGAAATAACTGAAATACCTTCACACTACGGAGCTTCTGTGGCTCTTCCGTTCAACAATCTCTCCGGCGTTGGAACCATCGTCTGTCTTCTCCTCGGTAACCTTCGGTCGCGCTCTCGGCGCACTCATTTCCTCCGTTACCCGGCGGCACGGCGGCTGGCTGCTTCCCAAACAAATACACATGTGCGGCTTGGCACTTGTGCTGTACGTAACAAGTCACGTGACGTGACGCTGCGGCTGTGATTGGTTCGGCTCTGCGCTACTTAATTTGGATTGGCTGTTTTTTTTTTTAAGAGGACAAGAGCGGCTGAGGTCTATCGCAATAGTTTAATTTTTCTATCGAGAAAAAGTTATTTCACAATACATATCGTTATCGTTCTATCGCCCAGCTCTAATGAAAGGCTGTGACTTTATTGAAACAGAGCCAATCAAACAGATTGATTGATTGGAGTGATGATAGGATCGATAATCGCTGCTGGAGTCAAACCTCAGAGATCACAGGGATTGAAGAAAATCAGGATGCTTGAATCTGGTTTCTGCTCAGAGTGAGCATGCTCAGCTCTGTTACCATGACAACCATGGCAGCTCTCACTGGCACAGCCTTTTTATACTCTTCTTCACAGCTTCTGGGTGGACTAGCACACTGCGAGCCTGGACTGAGTGGACCCCGTTTGTCCTCGGCCTGAGACGGACACATTTTGCTGATGTGGGACTTTCTGGGATTCTGCATCAAACTGAGTTGAAAGATTTGTGCGCAGACAGAGTTTTAAAGCGATATCGTGACAGAAATGTGAACTTCCAACAGGAAACACTGACAGAACTCCAATAAGCTGTAATAATAGGAGTCAGAGCTGTTAATGTGAATGGAGCCAGGGTCTATAATCCCATTAAAATACAGATCAAAGTGCTGTGAGTAGGATTAAAGCTTCAGTCAGATCCTAAAAACACTGAAAAGTACTAAACTAAGATGGGTGTAGATCCCGTGTGCTGAGGGAGGAGTCGTACCATGCAGACGGTGTCTGATTGGCTGAGAGCTGCTGACCTCACAGAAACGCAGCCTTTATATACCCGACACTGATCTTGTGACCCGAAGGATTCTTAGGAAAAAGTGAGCGTATTACTCGGTACCCTGACCCCCTCGCCACTTTCCACAGAACTCATGCTGACTTCCTGCCACAGCTAACCACCACAAGAAACACCATATTTATACACCAGTGCACCAAATCACAGGCTGTTTCCACATAAGACTGAAAGTCCCAGCCAGGAGACCATCCTGGCATCAGGTTAACACACACCTGTCCCACAGGCTCCACGCTGAAAATTTACCCACAATGCATTTTTCCTCTAAGTCAAAGACATCAAACTGTGATATGTGCCCTCATACTGATGATCACTGCATCAACAACACTGTGAGTTTTGCAGTGGGTGTTACAGTGTTTGTAGTTTTTCAGCCCTGAAAGTTTTCTGGACTTATGAAGTAAAGAAAATCATTCAAAAGGGTCAAATTTGTAGTTTTAACTCATTTATGTGGAAAACCTTCATTTAAAATGTAAATCTTTGTTTGGCAGACACACTGACCCCGAGGTCATGTGGCTCACTGGCTTCACATCAAACCTGCAGAGTCCAGCTTATCATCATCGCAGTACGTGTGAGGAAGTGTTGGAGTTGGTGCACAGCGGATGCCTTCGGTGGACTCCGCCTCTCGCCCTCGCAGAGCCAGGATAGGCTCCAGAATTTGTGCATACGTTCATTTTTGTATTTCAAGAAAATGATTCGTTAAACGTGTTGGTGGGTTTAAAAATATAAAGAATATACCTTTCTTCTCTAATTTTATGATTTTGTCAGATTTTAGGATAATCCTTTAATTGTCCCACAAGGGGAAATTTGGTTGTAACAGCAGCCAAAAAGACATATATACAAACAAACAGGACACAGAGCAGAAACATACACAATTTTTCTTACATATTTACATTAAGGACAATCGTCGCTATAAACAGAGTACTGTACAGTTATTAAATAAAATAAAATAACTACAGGTAAGAGGCAAACCAGGTTGTAGTGCGAATCGGTTAATTAACTTATTGCAGTTACAGCACAGATGTAAACATCTGTGTTTGTTGGGAGCAGTTCTGATTGCACAGTCTGACAGCTGCAGGGAGGAAGGACCTGTGGAAACGCTCCTTCATGCATCGAGGATGCAGCAGTCTGTCACTGCAGGAGCTCTGCAGTTCAACAACATTTACATGCATGGGGTGGGAGACTCTGTCCATCGGAGATGTTATTTTGGCCAGAGTCCTTCTGTCTCCCACCCCTGCACTGGGTCCAGGGTGCATCCCAGAACAGAGCTGGGAACAGAGCATTTTAGATCAAAATGTGAGTTTGTGCCAGGAGCACAGCGGGCGTACGCTCCCCGTGGTGCGTCACATCTCCCGACCCTGTCCAGTGGGCTGGGTTCTGGCCCCCGAGCCTTATGTTTGGCTTGTCTGAGGGCTGCAGTTCACACTCCGCGCCAGTCGGTGGCGGTAACGCACCGTGTCGTTGTTTTCCACCCACCAATAAATTTCGAGCAGCCGGGGTGGTGGGCGCTGATTGGTCGGCGGACCGGACTGATTCTTATCAGATCAGTCTTCAATAATCAGTCATGATCCGAGCTCCACGTGCGCCTGAGACGGGGACCGGGACCCGACGGGACGCTCCACGCGGACGTGTCCGCGGGGCGACCAGGTGAGCCGTAGGGTTCCCAGGACCCACTTCCGGTGTTTCTGTGTGTTTTATTTCTCTGCTCGTGTTGGTGAATATTCTGCAGATTTAAATGATGTAAGTCAGGACATGCGTGACGTCATTCACAGACTCGGCGCTACATCATAAATAATCCTTCCGGTCGCTTTAGTGTCGTTGTGTAAGTGTCGTGTTTATGTCTCAGTGACCGTGCGTGGAGCTGCTGTGCGGCTCCGCCTGTGGTCCACGGTCACCGCGTCCCACCCTGCTGTCTGCTGCTAACACCTGGGTGTATTTGACACACTCGTGTTTTAGTTTCTTTTTCTCTGTCACATAGAGCAGGGCAGATAAAATATTTATCACCATATACATTTGAAAATGTGCGATAACGATATAACTGACGATATAATTGACACTGGACAAAATACTTTACAACTCCTCAACTTTATTAGTGCAAAACCATCAATGTATGTTCACTTAATCAACCAGCTGTTTTTTGTGTGCATTAAAGCTATATAAACATTTAACAGTGCAAATTGCTCGCTAACAGTTTAACCAAAAGGCATTTCCAGTGGAAACCGGCCGACATATCCTCAGCATAACCAGGTACAACATCCACAAACCTTAAAAAGAGGCTCTACACACACAATACAGTAATAGACCCTGTGCACGAGAAAATGCTAACTTCCTGGTTTGAGACCGGATGTGGGGTTGTGCATTTCCGGTAGCTTTACTTTGCAGTCAATCGCTACTGCAAAGATATATCCTCCACAATCATGTCCAAAACTCTAAAACAGAAAGATGGTGTTAAGTTACAAAGAGAAGGTGGGAACACTCACTGCTGCTGTGTCATAAAAAATCTAATGATCAATTTTGACGTTTAAAGCGTTTAGATCGATCAGTTGTTTACATCACTCAACACAAGCAGAACTGCATCACTGCAGCAGAAGACACATCGTCCACATGCAGAAGCATCTCTGTATAGTGACTGGTCGAGACATCTATAGAAATGTAAATCGCCGCTTGATTCATTCATTTGCTTAACTTGTTTTGGACTGTAAACAAGGCGCGAATAGGACACCGGAAACAAAGCTCCCCACAGGAGTTTCTGCACCGGAAGTAGCATATGCTAACGTGCACATAGTCAATATTATGTTGAAGCACAGTACGTATCACTCCGCGAGGCTCCGCCTACGATAGCCGTAACGCTCCAACAATCCATCAAGCGGTGCGGCTTCGTAGCTTAGCAAAGTCGTACTGAAACATTTGACAGATTTTCGAGCGCCGTGCACATAAAATCGTTTCGAGGTCAGTAAACACAACCAGAGTTCATACATAAGGCACACGGGGTTATAAGGGGCTCTGTCGATTTTTCAGATTTTAAGTGCACCGTATTTTCCAAACAACACGGTAATAACGACGGCCCGCTAGCATGCTCCACCAAAAATAGTGCTTTGTTGTGTATCTGACGGACGAAAGCCAAACCAGTTCCACACCACTGAAGCTGCAGCATTTTTACAAACCAGTTCTGGTTCATCCGTTTCATTCAACGATCCGCTTTCGCCCTCCTCATTCTGCATCGCCGCCATGATTTTTCTGCCGTGTGCGCATGAAAACAAAGGCACTGCGCATGCGCGTTTTACCCATATTCTATTGCCATGTTTCATTTTCCTATCATTGCCCAACATTACACCGGTGTTACCGTGAGCGGTATGATAAGATAACTTTTATTAGTCCCACACGTGGGAAATTTGTTTTGTCACAGAGAGGAAGTGGACAGTGCAAAAGTTATGAAGCAAAAATTAGAATACAATAAGAATAAATACAGTATAGAATAGAATAAATACTATATACATTAGAATAAAATAGAATAAAATATACAATAAGATAAAAATAGAATACAAATGCTATATACAACTGAGTAAAAATACGATGCCAGAAAGTATTGCACTTAGTGTTATTGCACTTAGTATTATTGCACATGTATGGATGTGTGTGCTTGATCAGTTAAAGTCTTTGTTGTGGAGTCTGACAGCAGTGGGGAGGAAAGACCTGTGAAATCTCTCCGTCCCACACCGTGGGTGCCGCAGTCTCCCACTGAAGGAGCTGCTCAGTGCTGTCACAGTCTGCTGCATGGGGTGGGAGATGTTGTCCAACAGGGATGACAGCTTAGCCGCCGTTCTCCTGTCACTCACCACCTCCACTGGGTCCAGAGGGCCTCCTAGAACAGAGCTGGCCCAGCCCTACTGTCACAGTTCAGCGTTGTTTGTCCGTCGTTTCTCCCGCTCTGATCTCTGTCCTTCAGTCCAGCGTCAGTAATGGAAATGAACCAACGGGCTGTCCGGCTCACAGCGGGCAATCTGCCTGGTATGCCAGATTACCCGTCCGGTGCCGGGAGGCAGACGGCTTGAGTGGAGGCTGACAGAGAGGCGAGTTTCCTAAAAGAGATCAGCCTTGCGATGTTACCGCACTTCGCTGAGGCTCAGCCTTCAGCAGGTGTTTTGGAGACTGCTGATCAGAATTATTGATGGTTACAGATGTAAAAAGGACCCCGTGGGTCTCTGTGTCACAGTGTACTGTAATCCAGATGTGACAGTAGCGAAGGTGTCCAGCAGGTGTGGCTGTGGAGCTGCTGTCAGGTGCAGTTCTGCCTCAGCGTCTCAGGCCCTCACAAACACCAACACTGTAGCTCCCTAACAACTGAAACCATGTTGTGGACTCAGCTAAACTACATTTATTGTTTTTTATTTGTTAATTTGATAAAATTCCTTTATGGATGTGTTTATTGTGTTCGAATATCTTTGCTGCGTTTCATAAATCTGGCGTTTGTCATAAATACAGTGATATTGGAAAAAAGACAAACGAATGAAAAGCCACTCTGGAAACCTGCTGAAGCTGAAGCTCAAAATGAAGACTAGTAAGAAAATAGGGGGCGGGGCTTTATTCATGTTTGAATGCCTTTGAGACTCCGAACGTTTATTTCAGTTTTTCTTTGCTGACTCTGCAGACTGTAATGGAGGCTCCGGCCAGCAGGGGGCAGCAGGTGGTTTTACCTGAAGTCATTACAGCTGAAGTTCTGTGTCTGTGAATGATGCATGCTGGGAAAACGGACCGCGAGCCGCTGTGACATCGGCACAGGTGAGCGGGTGGGTGGGATTCTGGGACGTGCTCAGACTGAGGTGTGTCACATGACCCTGCTGCTCTACAGGGTCCACCTCACTCAGCTGAGAGCAGGAAACGAAGCAGGAGCCGGGGAGTCTGCTCGTCCTCAGTGTTTACATGAAACTAATAATACGATTGTCAATAATCAATGAACCAATGTCTCTGACTCCTCTTAAATCTGACTTCTTTAAAGTTCACCCAAAAACACTAAACCTCCACCGTCAAATGTCGCTCTGCCTGGAAGTGATGTAATAAAAGGCCGACTGAAGCCCCTCCCACAGCAGTCTGTTCACAGAGGGGAGGGGCCGTGACAAAACCGGACTGAAGCGTACTCTGATCCAGGCGGCACGTGGCGTCCACGACTTCCACGGAGTCCACGGCTACAATCTAACCATCAGTTTGTGTTCTTGCAGGTGGCTCTGCTCTCTGATTGGATCCTGAGCTGTGATGTCATCGGTGGCGCCTCAGCCACAAAGGTGAGGTTTGATGTGAGTGTGTGGTGATGTCGCAGGGTGGGCGGGTCTTCTGGGAGATGATGTGAACAAAAGGCCGAATTGTAGCGCCCCCGCCAGGCAGTGTGTTCTCAGAGCGGGGCGCCGTGACAAAGACCGACCGAAGCGTTCGTCTGATCCCAGAACGTCACGTGACCAGACAGCTGACTGAGCAGGTTGGGTCACGTGACCGTGACAGTTTTATTCCCATGTTCAGCAAACTTCCTGTTTTTCTTCTTCTGCAGTTTCCTGACGGTGTCCTGTGTGAGCGCGGTGTCGGGATGGTCTGTGGCTGTGCCGCAGTAAAGAGGAGGAGTTCTGACCACGCCTCTCTGCGGTCTGTGAGCTCTGATCCAGACTCCCCCAGCTGTGTCGTTCTGGCCAGTTTGGGACAATTTGTTTTTAATTTGCTGTTTAAATGTTTTTAAACAGCCAAATGCAGCAAATCTCACACTGATCAAAACTCTGCAAACTAATGTTCAGTATATTTATTTATGCATGGGAATGAAAAAACTGGAAATAAATTATTAAATATATGAATGATTAAATTACAATTCTATTAATTTGACACACTTGTTCAAATTTAAATAGACTGGCGAGGAAATGATTAAGATGTAAACCTGAGGGGGCTAAATAAGTATAAACATAAGTGTATACTTCTGCCTACTGCTTTTCAAACAGCTGAATGGATGATGTTATGGACTGTTGGTGAATGTATATGTTCGAAATAAAAATGAACTGAACATTGAATAAATTACTGATTTACAATTTAAATTCATGACACATTTAAAAGATTATTTAATGATGTGTTTGATTCATTTTGGGACTCCTGGCCCTCCATATTAAATGGTTATGGGAGATGCCCTCCAAGGGTGGTGGAGAATGACCGAGCTAAGATCCTGTGGGACTTCCAGATACAGACGGACAAAATGGTGGTGGCTAACCAACCGGACATAGTGGTGGTAGACAAACAGAAGAAGACGGCCGTAGTGATCGATGCCAATGACAGCAACATCAGGAAGAAGGAACACGAGAAGCTGGAGAAATACCAAGGGCTCAGAGAAGAGCTCGAGAGGATGTGGAGGGTGAAGGTAACGGTGGTCCCCGTGGTAATCGGAGCACTAGGTGCGGTGACTCCCAAGCTAGGCGAGTGGCTCCAGCAGATCCCGGGAATAACATCGGAGATCTCTGTCCAGAAGAGCGCAGTCCTGGGAACAGCTAAGATACTGCGCAGGTCCAGGCCTCTGGTAGAGGACCCGAGCTTGAAGGATAGACCGCCCACAGGGGCGAGCGGGGAGTAATTATGTATATCTATATCTCATATATACAGTGTTGGTCAAGTTACTTGAAAAAAGTAATTAGTTACTAATTATTAATTACTTCTTCAAGAATGTAATCCTGTTACTTTCCTGATTACTTACTTTCAAAAGTAATTAGTTACGTTATTACTTAGTTACTTTTAAAAAACATGATGCTCCACCTGAATATGTAGTAAAGCAACAGACCCTTCAGCCCAGTTCTATTTATTCTGCATAATCATCATATAAAAGTCTCTTTTTAAAACTTGTTTTACTCTGTTAACTTGATGCATCCAGCAAAAACTAAATTCTGACTGAAGAAGCGTGTTCAACACTGAAACCCGTGTTCTGCATATTCCAGCATAAAATAAAATCATGTGTTTTGGAACCTGCTCTGTCAAACAGATGCAAGTAAAACAGAAGAAATGAATGAAATCAAAGACTCAGCAGCTCTTAAATCTATTGTCAGCTGTTTAGCAGGAGTGGGGCGGGTGGAGGTCTGCCCACAGCGGTCATGTCAGTGGGAGGATCCGTGGGTTTCTCTGTGAATGTCACATTCCCGTGGCAGCGTGCTCGCTCAGATTAGAAGTTTAATTTTTCGCTGTAGAAAGAAGTTTTCTTCCCACAGAGTGAACAGCGGACGCTGTTTCTGTTATTTTTACGGAATCAAACTCAAAGTAATGTGATTACTTCCACGCTTTAAACGCTGCATGGTCGTACATCAGTGAGCCAGGCTGTCGTTCCCACATCCCTCAAATCATTCCTGTACCGAAGAAGTCGTCTCACTCTGGCTTTAACGACTACCGTCCGGTCGCACTCGCCTCCGTCACTATATACAGAAAATGTAATATTTCTTTCCATTGCTTTGCCAATGACATTCAAATATATTTCCCTTTGAGCTTGAATGTCACAGATCCATTGCACACATTGTTTAATTGTCTTCATGATGTCAGAGTCTGGTAATCTCAAAACTCTCTCACTTTGAATGAGAGTAAAGCTGAAGTTATTGTCTTTGACAGCCATAAGTCTACAGCCGTATCCCTCTGAACCAACTGATACCCTTGGCCCTCTGCTAGCTACCTCTCTAGAGACTCAGGGGGATTCTTGGATAGCTCCTTCAAATGAGAGAAACGAGTATCCACAGTGGTTAAATCAAGTTTCTATCAGCTATGTCAGATTTCTAAAGCCAAGCCTTTTCTTTCCCCCAAGGACCTTGAGAAGCTGATTCGTGCATTCGTTACTTCGAGACTAGACTGCTGTAACTCCCTTTTTTGGCCTCCGTCACTCCTCTCTCTACCGTTTGCATTAGTACAGAACGCTGCTGCACGCCTTTTATCAGCTGCCAGAATGCATGATCACATGACTCCGGTTTTAGCACTAAGATCCTCTAATCAGATGCTCTTAATGCAGCCTAAGGCTAGGCTGAAACAGAGGTGATCGTGCCTTTGCTATTGCAGCACCTAGACTGTGGAACAATCTTACTGCCATTCACTCTTCTGAGTCTATTCAGTCTTTTATCTCACTTAAAGACTCTTCTTTTTACTTTGGCCTTGACTTAAGTTAGTTGATCATCATTTGGCAAGCTGCTATGTTTGTGTTGGAGGTTATGTATGGGAATCTCAGGAGCAGGGCCACGCCTCCAAACGTGCTCCTTCCGGTTGTCATCTATATAGGTGCCCCCAGTTCTGGAAGCTGTGCCCCTCCCTCCTTGTTCTCAATTCTGTAACACGGGGATCTGCCAGGCCCAGGAGCCGTTGCCAGTCCCCATCGACCTCTCTTCCCTCCGACCTGGACCCGTTTCAGTTCACATACTGACTGCACACCATCACACAGCTCCAACCTTTTCATCAAGTTTGCAGCCGACACAGCTGTGGTAGGTCACATCAGCAACAACGATGAGGCCTACTACAGGACTGAAGTTAAACATCTGGCCAAGTGGTTCAGCAACAACAACCTGTCCCTGAATGTGGAGAAGACTAAGGAGATCATCACAGACTGCAGGAGAACTCACACTCTGCACACCCCACTAACCATCAATGGTGTTGCTGTGGAGGGTAGGCAGCACCAAGTTCCTGCACATCTCTCCTGGTCAGCAAAGCCCAACAGCGACTCTACTTCCTCTGCAAACTGAGGACAGCGAGAGCATCAACCTCCACTATGAGCAGCTTCTACAGAGGCACCGTGGAGAGCATCCTCACAGCTGCATCACTGTGTGGTGTGGCTCCTGGAAACAGCTACGACGGGTAGTGAGAGCAGCAGAGAGGATCGTGGGTACCTCTGTTCCCTCCCTCCAGGACATCTACTGCACCCGTCTCACCTGAAAGCTCTCTGCATCACAGGTGACTCCACCCATCCGTCCAACAGCTTCTTCAGTTTGCTGCCATCAGGAAGGAGACTGAAGAGCCTCG